GATGTGGGTATTATCACAGGTTCTTATAAAAATACTAAGAAATGACCGAATCGAATGATCTATCCCAACCCCGAACATCTTGTTCAGTTTTCACTACCTGGACCGTCTCGTGTTTCAATTCCACTCTATTATGTTCACTTTATGCCGCGTCAATCAGCATAGCTATTCCATACCGCCGGGGTTTTCGCGGATATCGTTTTAATTAAACACTTCTGGTATTCCGAATCAAATGGAGCCAGAATCAGAAGCTTTCCAGTTTCATCGTCTAGATGGTAATAAAAACCAATAGAAATCTTCCTCAGGTAGTTTATGCCTTCCCCTGTCAATCCTATCCGAAAAAGTGTCATAATGACCACCTTCTGTCTATCTTTTATGTTGTTCTATATATTATCTGTTCACGAACCGAACTCGTTTAGTTCTTGATCACTGCTTTATGAATTGTATGAGGATGCTGCGCAGTTGAGTGCATTCAAACCGTGGTGTTTACCGGTGTGAAATGCTTGGCTCGTGTGTGTGGCAAGATGTCCCCCGTGAACGGATACACCGGACAACCACAATTGGGGCGAGTCTAGGTGTGGTCTGAAACCGTCGACGGACAACATGATCTTCGTGGAAAGGGCAAACTGACAGTCTGAAAGACAGGAAAATGCAGACACCATGAACAAAAAGATCCAGTGAGACATGAACACCACTCAAACACTCAAACGGGAGGGCAAGTTGCCGAGGTCGTTACACCGGAAGACTTTTTAGGTTTGCAGCCTGTCGATCTGCTCTATCATATTGATTATTTTTGATGCCACTCCCACTGGGATGATCACGAAGTCGATCTGAATTGTAGTTCTGCGCAGACGAATTTCAAGTACCCATACTGGTTCTCTACAATATGCACAATGATGTGCTTTATTTGTTGTGTTACGTTCGGTGCTGTTGTGTGATTTGTTCGTTATCCCCTCTACACCTCTTGTTCCAGTTTCATGGCTTCCCAAATTCTATTACGTCCCACTCGATGATTTGGAACGGGAACGTAAAGCTCGTGGGACCGTGATACGCAAAAGCAGTTTTCGATTGCCTGGCGAGTCGTATTTTCTATGGGGTCAGGCAGTATACTTGATTTCTCAATTACTGAGTACGTTAAGCATTTTCAAGCATCCTTTCTCGACATTGGTCTGTCTCGCCTAATTTTGCTATAGTTCTCATTGTATGGCCGTACCTGTTCATTTTCTTATCAATGCCCCCTATGAAAACGACAAACATTGTGTGTACAAAGTAATACCAAATCCTGGATCACTATTTCCTGTTCAATCTGTCATGCTATAGCAGATTGAATTAGGAATTGGGTCTCACTCGCGGTTCATCTTGATCGTGATTTCACCGTACAATTACCCGACTGGCCCTTAAACAGTCTCTATCTTTCTGAGGCTGGGAAAGTCCCTACGAAATGCGTCTGTTGAAGTGTCTGCTGAGGAAATTCATATTACATCCGCTCTAGTCGCAGAAACTGCGACTTTCACCTCTCTTCACTGTCGCCGGTTAACTACACTCTCCAAATGTGAATCCCTAGTAAAATCCACCGGCTTTGATTTGCGCGACCTGGAGGTATTTCTCTCTCTCTCTCTCTCTCTCTCTCTCTCTCTCTCTCTCTCTCTCTCTCTCTGGAAAACTACAACCTGCCTGTTCTCTTCTGAGGATATTTTAACAGGATTTGTTTAGAACCCAGTTTTGCTGCAGACGAGTGTGAAACATTTAAGTAACTGATCACTGGTTCGTTTCTCAAATCATTTTCCCCCTAAACTTTGCTATCAGTCAGCGGATGTTTAACTCCCATGGATCTGGATCCGCTCGGTCGGTGTTCTGCGTGCAATCGCGGCCGTGCAGCGATCTCACATGGTGGCTCTGTACTAGGTGTAAGTTGCTTTTGTGTAGTCGTAACTGATTTCACCAGTTCAACACCATCATTGTCATTCTTAACTACAGTTGCAAATCGGATTCGAGCGACGTGACCCTCAAATCAGAAATATATTTCGGTTTTCAGTCCCGTACTTGCATGTCCATAGCCATGGGTAAGGAGCATTTTTTTCGAACCTATTTCTCTTTTATCACTATTTGAATTGGTCTGACCTTGAGCGTAACGATGAAATTTGTAGCAGTTCGTAAGGTACGTTTCGGAGTTGGAAAATACTTGTTGTGGAGCGTCATGGAAGTTCATTCTTTCTATGAAATGATTTTTGTTTAACGTGGATGTTTATTCTGGTCAAACTAACCTTTCTTCTGACGTTTCAAAATAAATATGCCGTCAAATGATATTTTTTTAAAATTTTAAGTAAATTGCAAGATTATGTGGCTACAAACTTACTGCGTGAAATCTCTCGTCATGGAGGGAGTAAAATATTGCAAGTGTGAAAATTGACCTTCAGCAGTCGAGCTGGAGGTGTGCAACCCGCCGAGTCAGCATTTTATAATGTCACCATGCCAAAATCTGACGAAACGTTGCAGTCTGCGGTCTAACAGTGAAGCACAGAGGCAGCATAATACTACGGCACATGCACCTGGTATCTCGATCTCCGGCTTGTACGATTGTTTCGATGCAAACATAAACAGATTTAACACAGATTGTGTACTCTGTCTGTCTTTATAAGTGCACTTTCTTTCCCCCTCCCTCAAAATAGACCCAACCCCTGTCCATCTTACCTATTTTCGCTAACTTTGCATACATCACGAGTTTGGTAGCTGTGAGTGTAGTTCGCTCCTCTGGATACGATGATAATCATGGTACTGATTATCGTTAAAGCACATTTAGTACCAACGTGTCAACTTCATCAATTTAACTTGTCGCAGGACTTTGGCTCCTTTTGTAACTACCTTTGGTAACACTACTGAATGCTTTTATCTGTTGCAGTTTTTATGTCTACTGTATTACTCCCCTTTTTCAGTTTTATAAGATAAGCTTCCTCAGACTTTTTGTGCGACTCCAGTGTTATAGCTCTTGGTGGACTTAAAGATTTCATTGTTTGCAAGCATTGTGATGCTTGTAACCAGTGGTCTAATGCCTACCGTTGTGTGATGATATCTTTCCAGCTACCACCAACTCTCAGAACTGTTTTCAACTGAATTTCCCTGTGTCCCTACATTCTGCCATCACAGTATTATCCTCTGACGTACTGTGGATTTATGATTGCCACGTTTGCATCCCCATTCACTTCATTATTTATTTTTTCTCATCCTTTCTAAACGTTCTTTTGTAGTCTGTCGATAAAAACGACAGGTTCTCTCTAGAGGGTGCATTGATCTTTTGAAGAAAGTAACAATTTGAACTCACGGCATCTCGGATTTCAGGATGTGTTAGATGTTCAGTTTCGTAACGATCATCGGTTGTCGGCTTAGTTGTTCACACATTTTCCATACTGTTTTCTTTTGATTTTCCCTGTTCATTGATCTCTTAGGAGCGACCGATGAATGTTACTATTCAAGTGGTACTTATTTCGGAGTCGACACGCCTTCAGCAAATTCTGGCTACCTATGGTGTCCCCACTCAAACTCCCAGACAGGTCGAACCGATTCAGGTAATTTCCAGTGTGTTTTCTCTGCTTCACGCTATCCGCGTTTCGTTTCAAATTGATCCCCCTCCAACGCATCCAGGTACATTGTGAGCCTCAACCGGGATCATTCTACCTTTGTTTCCATGCACTGCGCATCTCTGAACAAAAGTAAGAGCAACCGGTTAGTAGGTCTACATGTGCGTCACGTCGACACCAAAAGCGTGTAACTACTCCAGAAAGTGAACGAAGCTTGTGTATAAACGACGACACTTGGTTTCCATAATCCCCCGAAAAATGAGGTCTATTGGCCGAAGCAGAACTGCTCGTCTACGCATTGGGATTCTTCCTTGAGTTGCATTTTAGTATTTTTGTTGCTAATCGGTTGAACCCTGATCACTGCACCTCAGGTGACGTGCATACACTTCTTACGAACAATTTGAAAGCTCATCGCTCAGACATTGTTGTGTACTGTATATAACTATTGGAAGCACTGAAGCTTACATTTCAGTTAAAAACCATACACGTCATACGTCACAAAGTACATATTCAACGGGGGAAAATGTTTACAGATATGGGGACGTTTCATAATCCAGGGTTAAGACAAAGTTCACTTATTACCCTTTCTTTCTTTGTGAGTAAACGTGCAAGAAAGGGTATAGGCGAATCTCGGTAAGCGTCAATTCGAGGTGAAACTTGGAATAGGAAGCGTGTGGAAGGATGGGAACGACAACGCGCAGTTCTGCGTGCAATGAGTGGTCAAGATCTATGAGAATCCTCTCCGCAAGTTTCACAAAGGAAGTTAAATGCCACTTTGAAAGCTTTACAGCTAACTCATTCACAGAAATAGAACAGACGCGGCTCATAATAGTTAGACGGCGATGTAAGACTTTGAAGTCCGTTTTGCGTAAGCCAGGGAAAATGATTGGAGAACAATAAATTAAGATGTGGTATTATGTATAGATCTAGAGAGATCATCTTAATTATCAACAACAAACAACAACATATCCAAAATTTCTTTTATATGATCGATAAATGCCAGTTGATTGTCACCCTCAAAAGGAAGACAGTCATACNTTGCATGTTACGTGTGGCCATTTCGGGGTTGCACCTAATGGTAATTTATTGCATCCTTTGAATTACGCAACTTTCCGAATTGGAAGCGTCTGCATATGCTCATGATAAAGCTCAGTGTGAAGACTACATGTGTTTCAATTTCAGTTTATACAACTGTTAACTATGCATCTTCGTGCTGTGGTTTTGATTGTTGTCTTTTAATTACCCCTTTGAATTGAAAGAAAATTGAAATGCTGGAAGTAGTCAATAGAAGGATAGGAAACTCAGGTAGGTTGCAGGGAAAATGAGTGGATGAACGGGCGCAACTGTTCACGACACTGAACTATATCACTCAGTGTATCTAACCATCGATAACACTGATTTCAATGTCCACATCCCGAAAGCCTAACGGAAACTGGATGATTAAACCCACTGCCCAGTGTTTTCCTACCCCAGGTTTTAGTGTGGCTGCCGTTGACTTTTTCCACCCAATAAGGACCTTGGAAAACATCCCACTTTGAAGAAGCCCATCAAATGACATGCATAACACCACTTGAGCAATGGAGTTTGAATGGGTGACCGCAATCACCTAAAACTTTGCATCTAACCAAAGTTGCTTGTCCGGTTTCCCCACTAGACGTGTACAACGGGTCGCATAATTGATTCGAGCATTTAGGTTTACTCTGTCTTCGTATATATGGGGATCTGTTTGCATCACTGTGTTTGGTTTTCCATTGCTCGACCTTGCGGTTGCTTTGATTTTCTCCCGTCTTCCCTTTACCCCTGATCCCACACCCGTCAGATCTGGCCCCCGGATCAACTGGTTCGTGTTGGAAAATTCATGGGCTGTAGCCAAAATTTGGGCCTCACAGGTCGTCCCCAAAGACCGGTTGGTCAGTTAGGATGCAGTCGATTTTATCGGTCAGTCACGATGAATTTCTGTGTGTGTTCCGGTTTTCTCATTGTCCTTCCCCTAAAACTGGGAACATCCTCCAATGCAGTTCTGTGACTATCATCTGTTATTTTTCATTTGCGGTTTGCTTCAGAATTCGTTCCACATGAGTCCTGTTCACTCGATTAGTTCAGCCGTTTGCATCGTTTTTCGCCGTTCTTTTAATCTCGTTTCCCTTGGTTTTCGTATGACAGTATCTCCGGGTTGACAGTGCTCTGCTATCCGCTGCTATTCGAGGCGCAGGATTTCTATCTTCTGCATGACATGCAAGTGGTAATCGACGAGGTCAAGGTGAGGAATCCTATCTGAAACAATTAGAGGGAAACCTAATATTCACGAGGATCTGTTTTTTTTATTTAATAATGTTCATCATTGCATTTATGTCAAAGGATTTTAATTGGTAAGTCATATAAGGTCCCGTCGAGGTAGGTGCGACTATGGGATCCACCCCGTGTGTTGTTCATCAGAAAAATGTGTGTAATGAAAAGAACTCTTTATGATTCATTGCTCGCCGGACATGCGTTATTGTTCTCTTTTCCTAGATTGAAAATCAGTTTCCAGTTTTTACAACCATTATACCATACACTTTCATGCGCCGGTTTTGGTTGCTGTTTCATAACTGTCTATTTGGATCTAAGAGTGAAGAGAAGGTTGAAATGCTCAAGTCAGTGCCAGCTTGAGAAACACAGAATTCATGAAGGTTAAGGCGGCAGGACTGATAAACAGATGAACGAGCACCATTGTTTACGACACAGCCATATCACTCTAACCGTTGATTACACAGATCCCAGGATGGAACGTAGTATATACCGCTGGTTCAGCATTGCAATATGATAGTTGCAGCTGGGTAATATCCGTATGCATCAACCAGGATACTAAGGATGTCGAACAGAGTAGAAACAAGGTCATTTTGAACGACTTGAACAGTGTTAAATAGATTCATATACTAACCGTTCTCTTACATTGAAAGTTTTGTGCATGTGGTGAGCAGCTATCCGGTTTGATAGATGTTATGATTGATGCAGTTTTTGTGGATCTTTGATTTCAGACCGATTTCAAGTTTCTCTCAGATTGGTGGAGATTGCCCGGCAGACCTACTTTCTGCTTCTTGATCAAGGAAGATATGGTTAAGTACGTTTCTGTTGCATCTCTCGAATCCAGTCTGATAGCATTTCGGTCCATCTATGAGTTCAGTATTCATGGATTGGTGGACGCGGTGTTCTCGTTTGTGTAATCTGAGCTATTGGGTTCACTTTATTCATTGCAATAATACCGAAACAGGATATGCGGCCTGATGTTTCGTTTGATCTCCCAATTAATAACGTACCACAACCAGACACATAAAGCACACACGATTGATAAATCCTAGTGTGCGGATGTGTACAGAAAAGTAAGGGTGTGTAAAATTTGAACCAAGGTCAAATCCACGACCAATGAATTGATCGTGTCACGAACATTCGAGCTCACAAAGTGGGATAATGTAATCAGATTAATAAATCCCCACCAATTGCAAAAGGGTTTACATAAGTTACATTCCGACCGTTAGGAAAGAGGAAGCAGAACGGATTATGTGTGTGGCTGTCACGAACTGTTTTGCCCTGGTCTACTCGGGACTTCTTGTGACCACCTGGCTATCGGATGTGAGTTGTCATAGATTTCGTCAAGCATTTGGACATGTGTTCCGTCCTATATTCTAATCGCCTACAGTGGTGGTGCTGCCCAACTATGCGTCACCATCATTTTGCGTTACTTTGTGCGACGTGTTCCGAATACATCAAACAAATCGCTCCCCAGTTCTGAGTTACTTGTCTCGTAATTCTTGTTTGTGGTTTATTGCACGCACCCGTATTTTGGTTGTTTGTGTCATTCAGACCCGTCAACTGAGAGATGTCGACACGAAACCGCGCGCACGACACGCACACACTCACAGGCAATTATGCTTCATTGTGTACACTGTTTATTTGTTCGCCAAAGAGACCGTGACGAAATTAGGTCGTAAAATAGAGGTGCGAACTCCATGCTATGTTGCTTTTAGTGTATCTCTATCTGCACACTCATTTGTAGTCAGTGAGCCGAAACTGTGATCTCTCATCCGGGGACGGAAAAAACTACTTGCTTACCTGCTTCTACACACCACGGAGGCACGTGCGTGCGTGCGTGCGTGTGTGTGTGTGTGTATGTATGTATGTATGTATGTATGTATGCTTACTGGGACGAATAGAGAGATAGAGAAAACGACTTATGTCCCACTCGGTTACCTTTGTTTGTTTTTAGTTTCTTTGGTTCTCGGTTATAGGATTGGGAAACAAAACAAAAAGAAAGCGCACGCATTTAGCGCTCGACTTTTGCGCTACAAAATTGACCCCAGTGCGTGTTTCATTGAACCCGTTGTTATCATTCGTGATGAAATTAGAAAACTGAAGTTTGTGGAAGAAGTGAGAGAGAGGAGAAAAGCAGCCTAACGAAGTTCTCCAAGGCGTGATTTTGATGGCCTTGTGTCTGTCAAGCAATTTAAGTTTAGTGGTCAGGATATTACACGCATGCACACGGAGCCATTCGCTCCGGCTCGGAAAACTGGTTTACTCATCGAGAGGATGATGCATCAGTTTCCAAAACTTTTTCCCGGTTATACACACAGTGTCATATATCGCTCGTATGTTGAACGTTTGCCGAATATGTCTGGTATAGAAAATATGAAAAATATTTAAAATCCCCCAGGGAGGTTGCATGCCATGAATGATCTACGGGATATCAGTTATTCGCTTTCCGGTATAGGTGATTTTCCGTCCGATCTCCGACAATTTCAGTAAATCCGAACGTAATGTTTGATGCACATTTCGGCGTAAACTAGACTCGCTTATCCTCTGTTGTTTCACAACTGACTGTAAAGTGTCCCGGATTTTCCCCTCGAATTGCTGAATAATCAGCCGTCCAGGGAATCAATGGGTTTGAAATACCTTTTTCTACGTACCATTTACCTCATGTTACTGTTTCTTTCATCCATAAGTTACACACCCTTTTTCCAGCACTGTTTGTGGATTCTCGTTTCACCGAAATCCTATTCCACGGATTTGTTGTTTTCTGTGTCTCAATGTGTGTGTGTGTGTGTGTGACATTTTGACCTGCTCGTGAGAAAATTTTCTGTTATATTCCGCTCATAGTTATAAGGCAACCGTATCGTGTATGCAGTGATGTGTTATATGACACATGTACTAATGGAACTAATAGTCCCGCGTCACGATATGCTGCATTGAAACCTGTCACCCTGTTCATCTGTTGCTTTCTGTTTGCGCGTTTCTTAGTTTGAAACACTGATTCCATATCTTGCTACTTAGATTTTTTCGTTCTAATTCCTTCTTGTTTCGTTAGCTTTATCTTTCGTTAGCTCCACATTCACCCGGATGGCACCCAACTGAGTGAATTTTCGCTCACATCGATAAGTCACGTCACGTAACTCGCTTCCCGCCATGGGTGTGGGTTGTAGTGGGCCTAGATTATGCATGAGTATGCTATCACCGGCCTACCTCATGCTCACTAATTCTCTCACCTCCCAAACCGCCCCCTCCCCGCTTTCATTCGACCATCACCGCGCAGAGTTTCGGGTTTCGATCAGCTGTTGCGATTCTTGATTGGAATGAAAAATGGCACAGTCCATGGGACACGAATTGTTCTAGGTCGAGCCCAGGTGAGTGTGTACTGAAATATTCGACTAACACGCAACCTGTTCAGTTACCTGATGTTAACCTTTATTTCTTCTTCCCTCAGGTTGAGGCAAAGTAGTCGGGTTCATAGCTGTATATGTGTGTGCTTCTTTACCGCAGACGGATTGTGATTACGTCTTGCCCGGAAGTTTTGATAATTTTGATGTCGAGAAAATTGCTGACGGCATAGATGTATACGTGACCCCACATTGTTTCCAAAGGTCGAAAATTGAGAAAACAAGACGTAAACTCAGCTTTCTTTTTAGTTTGGGCTGTTTATCAGCTCATGTCCGGCGGGATTTGTGCAAAACTAAGCACACACGTTTGGAACACTTTTTATAACTGTTCTTTACTTCCATCACTATTCATCAGTTTCTTTATTACGTACTCGAAATTCGAAATCGTACTTCCCCTCTCTCCAACTTGTTTTGTCAACAACGAACGTACCATGGGCTTGCACACACACACGATAGTATCAAACTCTCGTTTTTATCTACT